CCACGTTTGGATAAGTCGATTTTATCCCATTAACAAGCTACAAGTGAATAGATAGAAAAGAGCTAAATAGTCAGACAGGACATATTGAACATGTCCTTGTGCTGGCTAAGTGGTCAGACAATGCACATTTTACACAGATCCTTGCATCGTGGGTTGAGTGGCCGAGAGAGTGCACATCTTACACATGTCTTTGTATTTGGGATTTTTGTTCTTTTTGTTGAAGTTTCTCTGTGCATTTCAGATGACTCTTGAGAGCTAATCTCTGTGCACTTTTTCTACGGTACCATTGTCTGGCGACGGTAGAAAGGTAGAACACTTGGCACATTAGATTATTCGATGTAGAAACATTTAATTATTATTTAGAAAAGCAAACTTATCAATGTCACTGTGCTGCCAGGGGACAAGTAAGAAAGAGAACGAGGCATTTGATATAGCTGGCAGAGACTGTGATGAGGTCCAGCACATTCTCTGGAAACCTGGCAATGTTGCACTATTTGCACAAGTATAGATTGCGTTATGTGCATGGCACATTCTATGCAAATAGCCCTTTTTACATTTGTCAAGCCTTCACTGGAAGGCTGGACATCTACATGAAGAGTTACAACACACTGACTTCCCAGGGGTACATGACCTGGAGACTTTTTACTTCCTTTGGCTGTTGGGAATTTCTATTCCTCATGGAATTACACACTGGTTTGCAGGAAAGGGCAGTCAGACACGGAGATGCTTCCTTCTACCGCCCAGCAACATTCCACCCACAAACCAGTGACTAGGTGGCAGCTTGACAGCTGTGAACGTAGCTGGGGTTGTAGAGAGCTGCCGGTGGGCAAGAGATCTGCTGAGCCAGTGAGAAACTGCTTCGCAAAAATACGAGTGGTATAAAATTTGGACAACTTGATCCCATCTTCCCAAAATACCAACCCTCCCATTGCAGATTAAACTGCAGTTTAAAGGTCCACTTAAATACTTCCTGGTGTCTATTGTGTTATTGTCCTTCACCACCTTGGATATGCATCTTGTCCTGTGGGATTGGTATGTCATAACCGTTGTTCTGGATTTACTTTTTGAATCCCATTTAACGTTGATTCACCTCCATAAGATCCCCTTTTGAGCCTTTTTATTTTCAGGATTGAAGAAACCAAGATTAATTAAAATTCCTTGTAGCTCGTCCTCTAATTGGGGTTCATTATTGTTTACTGCCTCGCCTCTAGGGCTTTGGCAGCCAATCCTACGGCTGTTTGTGGGACAAGTCTGCCTATGAATACAGTCACACCACTTTACAGTAAGTCCTGTGAAGCACTGTGTGTGGGGGGGGGGGGTGTGGGGGGGGGTGTGTCTGTGTGTGTTTAAGGCTGAGAAGCAATTTATTGCATTTCCCACTTTTTTTTAACTGGGAAGCGCCTCAGTCACAGTCAAACTCACAGCTCTCTCTCTCTCTCTCGGGCTTTGGTCTATTTGATCCTCACTTCTTGCTCTCTTTTCTGCCTCTCTTGTCTTTCTCCTCCTCCCCTCTCTCACTCTGTTCATCTCTCTCTGTATCTCTCTCTCTCTCCTGGCTCTAAGCTATCTCTGCATTTGTCTCTTTATCTCTGTCCATCTCTCTTTACCTCTATCATTCACTCTCTGCACTTCTTTCTCTGCATCTCTCTCTAAGCTATGTTTGTGCATCTCTCTCTCTCTCTCTCTCTCTAAGCTGTGCATCTCTCTCTCTCTCTCTCTCTGCAAGTCTCTCTCTCTCTATATCTCTGCTTGCATCTCTCTTGACTGCACCTTTCTCTCTCTCTCTGCCTGTCTCTATCCTGTGCCCACACAGCCACCCCCCCCAACCCCCCACCCCCACCTCTCTCTATCTGTATATCTCTCTGGCTGCCACTCAGACTCTTCACTCTGCTGTGCTGCAAGCTACGTCACGGCTTGGAGGACACCGGAACGCTAAGATTTGCTGATCCGGCATCTTGTGGCACTTGTTACAGCGTCTGGAGCAGGCGAGGTGCAGATCTGAAGGGATGCACCGAGCTCTCTGTATCTCTCGCTGCCCCTCTGCTAGGCAGACAGCTCCCGGCTGGAGGAGGGCAGGCTGGCAGTGTTCCTCATAGACAGGTGAGGGCGATTGGGCAGAGAGGCTGTGCGCAGGACCTGGGATGCTTGTCAAGGTGACTTCAATAACTTCCTGCAGCGTCTTCCCCTCACAATCCAGGTGCAGAAAAACATCTCCCGAGAAGCCAGCTGCAGATAAACATCTCTCACATCCCAGAGACTTGAGGAACATCTTATATCCCAGGACCCGGAGGCAGAGAAGGATCTATTCCCACGTCTCCAACCCAGGATCCCAACCCCACCCAAAACTGGGAGGAGGGAGGAACACAGATCCGCACAATTCGGGATCCCATTGAGGATTCACACCAGCTTTCAAGATTCAGGCTATCGTCGCCTCCCAGTACTCGGGGATACCCAGGTTCGTTAGTGACCTGAACGCCCAGAACCAGGCAGAGCGGCACTCGCCCGAGGAGGCCCTCAGCCCCCCGGACTCTGGGGAGCCCAACCACTGGCCCGCGGGCAGGATGACCGTAGCCGCAGGGGACAGCGGAGACGAGGTGGTGGCCGCTCCACCAACCTCCGAGCTGGAGCACGAGTGCTGCGAGCGGGTGGTGGTCAACATCTCGGGGCTGCGCTTTGAGACGCAGCTCAAGACGCTGTCGCTCTTCCCGGACACGCTGCTGGGAGACCCCAGGAAGCGGATGCGGTATTTCGACCCCCTGAGGAATGAGTATTTCTTCGACAGGAACCGCCCGAGCTTCGACGCCATCCTCTACTACTACCAGTCCGGGGGCAGGATCCGCAGACCCGTCAACGTGCCCATCGACATCTTCTCTGAGGAACTCCGCTTCTACCAGCTGGGCGAGGAGGCCATGGAGATGTTCAGGGAGGACGAGGGCTTCATCCAGGAGAAGGAGCGCCCTTTGCCGGCCAACGAGTTCCAGCGCCAGGTGTGGCTTCTCTTCGAGTATCCCGAGAGCTCGGGTCCAGCCCGGGCCATCGCGATCGTGTCTGTGATGGTCATCCTCATCTCCATCGTCAGCTTCTGCCTGGAGACCTTGCCCATGTTTCGAGAAGAGGCAGAGCACCTCGGCGCCCCCCGACCCCAACACACCAACAGCACAGAGCCTTATCAATCCGGCACCTTCACTGACCCCTTCTTCATCCTCGAGACCCTCTGCATCATCTGGTTCTCCTTTGAGTTTCTGGTCCGATTGTTCGCCTGCCCCAGCAAGCCCATCTTCTTCAAGAACATGATGAACATCATCGACATCGTGGCCATCATCCCTTACTTCATCACCCTGGGCACCGAGCTGGCAGCTCAACAGCAACAGCATCAGGAGAAGGAGGAGGGAGCAGGGCAACAACAAGGGCAGCAAGCCATGTCTCTGGCCATCCTCAGGGTTATCCGCCTGGTGCGAGTCTTCAGGATTTTCAAGCTCTCCAGACACTCCAAGGGGCTGCAGATCCTGGGGCAGACCCTGAAGGCCAGCATGAGGGAGCTGGGGCTCCTGATCTTCTTCCTCTTCATCGGAGTCATCCTCTTCTCCAGCGCCGTCTACTTCGCCGAGGCTGATGAGAAAATGTCCTACTTCAACAACATCCCCGAAGCCTTCTGGTGGGCGGTGGTGACCATGACCACCGTAGGCTATGGGGACATGTACCCCATCACCATCGGGGGCAAGATTGTGGGGTCGCTGTGCGCCATCGCCGGGGTCTTAACCATCGCCCTGCCCGTTCCCGTCATCGTCTCCAACTTTAACTATTTCTACCATCGGGAGACGGAGGGTGAGGAGCAAGCTCGGTATCTACACATCACCAGTTGTCCCCGGCTAAAGGCCAGCAGCGAGCTGCCGAGGAGTCCCATCGCCTCTAGCTTGGACAATGATGACTATATGGATCCCCGAGAAGCGGGCGACCCTCCCGAGGAGGACAGACCAGAGACTCCACATTGCCTTTTACCCAACACCAACCATGTCAACATCACCAAAATGCTGACTGACGTTTGAGTGGGACAGGAGCCGAGCCTGTCCTGTCCTGTCCAGGGGAGGAGGGCAGAAGATCCAGTGTCTCTAACTGCGAGGCTGAAGCATCAAAACTATCCACACACGATCATAGTGACATGTCATCACGACATTCAATCCATTGGGTATTTGGTGTTGCTTTGAAGAGTTCCAGTGTTTTCCAGTGGGAGAAAACACTGGAACTCTTCAAAGCAACACCAAGAACAAAAGTGACATTACTTGAGGAAATCTTCACGCTTGACCCTCTGCAGTGAGTGATTAGACTGAAGAGTGAGTCCCTGCGAGCAAAACCCTACCTGGCCTCCTGTTGTACACCTCAATACCTCTGTACCCGCATCCCATTGAGCCACGTTCCTGCTTTGAGCCAGAGGTTGAAGGATTCCGGACTCCCGACTGCTTTTAACCCCCTTTCCCTCCTTGCCAGCTGATCTATCCATCTCTCCGAGGGATGAAGGCAACACCTCGGCCGGCGTGTCTCGGAGCTGGAGCCGGGGAGGTGGGAGAGGCTGGAGCTCTCACACAGACGGAGCTGCGCGATGAATGCCAGGGAGAGCAGACTGGATGGAGGTTTGGGTTGCTGCACTCCCACCTTACAGCAAGCTAAAGAATGCATGGTGTGTGCTGCATGGATTTAAACCCCACAAAAATCAGATGTAGATTATATATTTTCTTAGTAGAATCGGCTCGATTGTCTTTTCAGAGATAGATTTACATTGTTATCGTATATTTTTAACTATAACGTCAGGGTTGCTTAAGGGACCGAGTTACACTTAGGATGTTCTCAAAACTTTTAATGTGTGGGAAACCAAAACATGAACGCCCATATGCCGAAAAGTCGATTCCTTCTTAACAGCTGATTGTACAGCTCCTGCCCGACTAGTAAAATAAATCATCCTGAATTCTACAAACAAAATAATTTCAAAGAGAGATGGGCACTGTGTGCTTGTGTCTGTCATTCTAAGTGCGTGTGTCTGTCAATCTACATGTATGTATGTGTGTGAATCTTTGTGTGTGTATCTGTCAATCTATCTGTGTGTGTGTAAATTTATGTGTGTCTGTCAATCTTTGTGTGTGTTTGAATCTATGTGTTTGTGTGTGTGTGAATCCGTGTGTACGTGGGTGCAAATCTATGTGTGTGTGCAAATGTCTGTGGGAATCTATGTGTGTGTCTGTCAATCTTTATTGCCAACAAGGCTGGTTAATGTCAAACTCATTGTAATCTCTCAATAATTATGGTCATTTCCAAAAAGCAAGTTCTTAGAAACATCCTCTTTGTAACTCGATCGTCAGGTCACTCATGTGTTTCTTTCTCCAATGAAATGCTTCCAGTTATGCATAACTGCTTGTACTATAATTCGGTGGGAAATGAAAGCTGTATAGGTAGCGGCAGAGTTGAAATGTTTTAAGTCTTGTGCAAAGAGACAGCACGCCGATTGCTGGGCTGTGCAGGCTGTATACCAGACTCCAGACAAGCTACAGACCAGGAGGTATCCTGGAACATCACAATAAGACTGACATTTGGCCATTTGCCAAAGGGGTTTTTGCACATTTCCTCTTAAAATGCAATATACAATGCGCAAATCAATTAAAATTAGAGCACAATTATTTCTTGCTGGGTGGGATATGGAAGTCATTGAAATGACACCACAAGAGGTGGCATCCCATTTGCCTGTTTTATTGCCTTTACCACAGATCTGTACAGCTACATCAATCCATCTGCTCCCCTACTTCTTGGATGTTGTTATCGTGGATCCATTTCCATTTCATGCTCTTTTTCTCAAATGAACCACTTCGTTACAGGACTCCACAAGGTTATTTCTCACCATTTGGCAGATCTCTAATATCATCAGTAACTTGCATTTATATAGCGCCCTCATTCAGCGTAGTGTCTCAGAGCGCTTGATATAACATCCACAAAACACTCCCTGTATCATACCCCAAACCTTTAAGTATATGGAGAAAGACCCAGTTCGAACACAGGCCCAATGGGACACAAACCCCTGAGGTACAGGCCCATAGAGGCAGAGGGAATCCCCGATCCGAGGAGAAACAGCAAAGGTTCTGACTGGTTTTGCAGAAGTCTGTTGATGCAGAATTTGTCCAAGATGTTTGGAGAGTGGTGGCAAAGCTCATTCTGTCGTTCAGGAAAGAGAGGAAGGTAGGCCAATGAGTTTTACATCAATTGTAGGTGAAATCCTTGAGTTTATAAAAAGGGATGTTGTTGCCGAACCTTTAGAAAGAATGGTTTTGTAAAGAGAAGGTCGTGGCTGATGGATTTGATTGAATTCTTTGAGGAAGTAACCAAGAGTGTTGTTGGAGGAGGCATGGTTGATGCTGATAATAATAATAATCCTTGCATTTGATATTGTGCCTTATCACCTCATTGAGACATGTCAAGGTGCTTCACAGGATACACTGTAAAGTTGATTGACTGTGTATTTTGTGGTTGAAACGCAACAGCCAATTGCGTACAGCAGTGTCCCACAAACAGCCAAGGAGTGAGTGACCTATTTTATTTGGGGGATTGCTGGACAGGAGAAACTCTCTTCCCTTTTCGAATAGCGCCATGGGATCTTTAACATCCACCTGAACAGGCAGACGGGACCTCAGTTTAACGTTCTCATCTGAAGGACGGGTATTTAATTGGACTTTGGAAAGACATTTTATGAGGTGCTCCCTTTGAGAGTTGTGGCCAAAATTATGGACCTGGGATTGAAAAGTACTACAATAAACAGAGAAATGTTTAGAGGACAAGTGGCAGAGAATGGGAATTAAAGAATATTCTGCAGCATAGATTTACAAGGATGGAGTTGAGAGGATATAACTATAAGGAGACAGTGGAGTGACTGGAACTCTTTCCTTTGGAGTAGAGCGAAAGTTGTAGGGTGATTTGACAGAGATGTTTGAGGTAATAACATGATTTGTGAGTAGAGTTTAAATGGTGAAAAAAATATTTCTGCTGACAGGTCCTTCAAAGACAAGAGGGTATTAGTTTAAGATTATAACTAGAAGACAGCATAAAAATGTTACGAAAATATTTGTCTCCCAGACAGTTAAAACTAAGATTATGTAATGAATTGCCAGAGATGGGTGGTTATAGCAGAATCGATTTGAAGTCGTTTAAAGGGTAATTCGATATGCATTCGCAGTGGTGGAGGATATAGGAAAAAGCGGGGAATTGGAATCAGGATACATAGTGCCATTGGAGGGACAAATTCAAACGCCAATACAGGTATTAATATAATGATATAATGCCTGTACCCATCTCGCTATTCATGTCTCTATCCGTGCCTCTATCTGTGCCTTTACCCACATCTCTACCAATGTCTGTAGCTGTACCTCTATCAGTGCCTCTACCCAAGTCCTTAACCAAAGCTTGACCCAGACCTCTACCTATGTTTCTACCCGTGCCTCTACCAATATGTCTATCTGGGTAACCACCCACTTGGCCTTTAAATCTGAGAGCTTTCATCTTTGCAATAAGGTTCTTATGCGTTACTGCATCAAGTGCCCCTTGAAGGTCCTTATCCATGTCTATACTTGTCCTTGTCTATAATTCCTGAAGAGAGACTGAAAGAATAGTTGGTGAGAAGGACAAACATCCCATTCTGCCTCAAGTTGGCATTGCACTTGACACCTCTTGGGGTCTCACAGTCTTACAACTAGTGCTAAACTGGTTAAAAGTAAGATCAGAAACAGTTCTTCACAGGACCCTGGATTGTGTAATACACTACCTCAGAAGGTCAGGGTTGCAGAGTGGATTGAGGTCTTAATTCTGCTTTTATACTATGGGATCCAGAATTCTGAATTGCAAAGAGGATCCCGCATTTATATTTAAAAGTTAATTGGTGTATGCTTTTGATTTGAATTTTGCATTTTATTGGCCCCGATAGAGAGAACTGAGTTTCTGGAACCCCAATACGAGATTTCTGAGGTTTTGTTTACATAAGCAAAAGAACTCTAACCAGCAATTGTGTCAGCGACAAACTTGTCCACGTGCCTATTCCTCATTGTCAATGTTAGTGGGATATTCAACCCGAACATGTCCTCACCCTACATCCTTGTACACAAACACACACATGCATACCTTCCAATAGTCCTGTAGCTCAGTGGTTAGAGCATTGCATTTGCAATGTAGAATATACAGTAAAGTGAATTGACTGCATATTTTGTGGGCAAAACTTAGCAGCCAATTGCGCACAGCAGTGTCCCCGCAAACAATCGTGGATTGAGTGACCAAATTATTTGTTTTAATGTAAAGAAACATATCCTGAGGTAGCTTGGGAATAGAAAAAACTTCCAAGATTAGCAGAGGACAGGATAATAATCCTTGCATTTGCTGGAGCCTTATCATGCCATGAATATTCTCGAACAAGATGGTATATTTGATAAGAACAAGAAAAGGGTACTTTTTTATTATTAAGAGGGAAAGCAGAACGATGAACAAAAATTCAGGGAGCTGGGATACAATGTGCCACTGGAAAGGTGCTGTCTCTTTAAGGCATGAACATGCATCCTGTTAACATCTGTGACATCAAGGTCTGCATCTGACTTTCTGCTGTTCTTAGGCTGAATGTGACCTTGTGTTGCATTCGGAGATGCACAGAATCTCCAGTTATATTCCGATCTGGATGAAGCCTCTTGTTGCATTTTGTTCTGCATGTGTGCTCCTTCCTGCATGTGGTTGCTGGTTCTTTTGGGTCCTATGTCTGATGGAATGGGGGAGTCACGGGGGCACAGGATTGTGAGCGTTTGCAGGAAGTGAGGTTGCTTTCCTCGGAGGCTAGAACAGGAGCTTGTGTTGCCATGGAGAGGACCGACTGGGTATGGGTACAGCAGTGCACACAGAGCGGAGCTAATAAACCCCAGAGAGCTGCATCTGACTACTGCCAAACATGCTAGTCCCCGTCCCAGCTCACTTAATAGATCATTTTAAATCAGGATGGTCCAACCGGTGACCCGCGGGCCGCATCCGGCCCAGGGGT